CCTATGCATTCAGGAAAAGAACATTCAATAAGATATTATCAAACTTAATATTCTGAAGTTTATATGTATATACATATATATGTATAATATATACACACATATATGTATCTGTATGTACATATTTATATATACAGTATAAAATTAGTAATGATAAAGCTCATCAAAAAATAAAAATGAAAGATTATAAATGTATGGGTAATGGTAAACCATGAACTGCATTATTCACAGATGAAAGACTTCAAGGCCACTCTTATTTCTCTCACAAATTCTACTCTAAAAGAACAGACACTGGAAGGGAGAGACCACTGGGTTATTTTCTGCATCTGCCTCTCATTCTTCAAAGTTTGTGGTAGCAGGATCAGCACATCCTGTGTGCTGATTCCTTTGCAGGGCGCTTAGAGAGAATTAATGGGCTCTGAGGGAGCTGCTCTAGTGCTGTGATGACTGCTTCAGTTGTGAGGACAAACAGACTGAAAGAAGAAATACTGAGTATCTGAAAATTCAAACATTACAGTGACTGTCTCACATGGGAATGAAAGATTGGCATTTATATTGTATAATTCTATTCTGGGAAAGAATAAATTCATATTTCTAAATAACAACAGTAGCTTATGATAGCATTTTATTGTATTATTATATCCTGGCAACTATTCTAAGGCCTTTTCATGGATTCACCAATTTAATGCCACATAAGGAAAGTACAATTAATATTTATATTTATACAGGAGAGAATTGAGGCTAAGAGCAGTTAAGTAACTTGTCTGAGGCCAAACAATTTGTACACATTTCAGGAATCATAGTATGCTTCCTCTAAAATCTTTAATTTAAAATGAAACCTTTCTTCACTAAATGCATTTGAAGAGTCAGCTTTACTCACTATGAATATAAATTGGAATTCCAGAGACATACACATTAAAACATGCTATCAAAAAATATACTTATTATAGAAAAAGAAAAACAATGACCTTGGAGCAGATTCACAGATGTACAGAACTGAGAGAACATGTGTTCACCCTCTATTTTAATGAGGAAGAAGTGGATTCTAGAAGAGGTTGAGTTAGTTCACCTAAGGTTATAGAGGCAAATAAAAGCAGAGAAAGATGAATAACACAGATATTCAAGTTTCCAGACAAGTGACTATGCTCCCATATCACAGTTCAGAATCTTACGTCCTGTACTTCCTCTAACTAATTCATTGCCTGAGTAGGCAGATGTAGTACATATCTTCAAAATTAATTATTAAATTATTAACAGACAACCATCTGCCCTGGCTAATCTAGTAAGCATACTCTGAAGAGATTATCAAAGTAGTTTGCTGCTTGAAGTTAACAATTTGTGAAATGCAAGCTAATGTACAATCAGAGCAAGCTTCCATTCCTTGAAAACTTCCAAAGAGAATGTTATCACACAAACATGACATTTGCCATATCAAGATCAAGTATGCCAACCAGTTTATGATGTAATGCCACGCTAGACTTAAGGTGTCTAATAACTAATAATCTATTCTAAGTATCACTAAGCCCAAAAAGAGTACACTGATTTCTTTTTTTAAATTTAAGATAAAATATATTTTTGTGTCATTTGATATATGAGCAGTTTTACATCATTTCCCCCAAGTTTTACTGAAGCATAATGAACAAATAAAAACTGGCTGTATTTGGGCTGAACTATTTGATGTTTAGATACATGTGTACATTGTGAAATAATCATTGCAATCAAGCTAATTAATATGGTCACTACCTCACATAGTTACCATTCTTTTCTTTTTCCTTTTCTTTCCTTTTTTTTTTTTTTTTGTGGTGAAAACACAATCTACCTTCTTAGCAAATTTCAAGTATACAATACATTATAATTAACTATACAACACTACTGTACGTTACATCTCCAGAATCTATTCACAATAAATAACTAATATTTTGTATCTTTTGGCCAACATCTTTCTACCCAACAGCAGAAAAATACACATTCTTATCAAGAGCATATGAAATATTTTCCAGGACAGCTTATATGTCAGGTCACAAAACAAGTCTTAAATTTAAGAAATAAGAAATCATTCCAAATATCTTTTCTGACCACAATGGAATGAAACAATAAATCAGTAATAGTAAGAAAACAGAAAATATTCATAAATATATGAAAATTAAACAAAAAACTCTTTAATAATGACTGGGTTAAAAAGGAAACCACAGAAAAATTTTTAAAAATATTTCAAGACAGATAAAAATGAAAACACAACATACCAAAATTAGGGAAATGCAACAAAAACAATAGTAAGAGGAAAGTTTATAGTGATAAAAGCTGACATTTAAAAATATATATATTGAATAAACAAACCAATTTCACACCTCAAAAACTAGAGAAAGAACAAGATCCTGGTAAACCCCCATATTAACGATCAATGTAAGAGAAACCAAAACAGCAAAAGGACAAACTGTCAAAAAGTTAGAAGAAGTAGAGTTCTGTTTGGTGCCATAAGCATTTATTGAGTGCTTCTACGCATGCTGTGCATTGTGCCAAGAGACTAGTTTTTAAGGGTTTCAGACTATACGGGTATAAACAGATCGTTTCAGTGCAATGTGGTCATCTCAGTGACAGACATGTGCTCAATGAACAAGAGAACCATGGAACGAGGCACTGAGTACAGCTGAAGACTGAGAGGAGTCTCTGGAGAAATGATAACATATAAACAGTCTTCACGGTTCATAGGAATTAACAAGATATGAGAAAATCAGAGGGAAAGTCATGCCAGGCCAAAGAAACAGCATGAACAGAAAAGGGCATGGAGCACAAGAGTGGAGAGAGGGAGAGAGAATGGCCTGCAAGGAGCTGTCAGGGTTGATGTCACTGAGAGAAAAATAAAATCAGATCAAAGAGGCCCTTTCACTTACGAAGTCACTGTTGGCTTCTGTTATGGCAGCTTCAATGAAGTGATGTGGACAGAACTTGGACTCCCGTGGAATGAAGAATATGTTCAGACAGTGTGGGTAGAGTGTTTTTTCAAGGATCTTAGTGCAGAAGAAAATAAAGAAAGGCTAGCTAGAAGTGGGAAATTATCTAAAAGGCTTAGTTTTGTTATTACAGAGAACTGAGTATGTTTACAAGTCATAGGAAAGAAAGCAGAGTGCAGAGAAAAGTTTTTAAAATGTAGCTTATTTTACTCACTCTTCTGCAAAAACAAGTATTTATAGAGCATCTACACTGTTCTTGAACACATTTTCTAAATAAAGACAAACAACCAAAACCCTTTTAGAGGTGGTTTAATGGGTCAAAATCTGATTTACTCACCCAACCATTTAGAAAACCAGCAAGGTAAAAATTAAGGAACACTAATATCTTCAAGTGGTGACTGTAAGAATTCCACAAATATAAAAAATAGTTTCTAATTTTTTTCAGAATCATTGCATGCAGTATTTTAAGGTTGTAAAGGACCTTGACATGGTCTAATACTATTATCCATATCCCACATATAAAATTCCCTTCTCCACGTTCCTCCTCTGATATTGAAGGACTTTACATAAAAGAGAACCTTTTATTTAAGAAGGTGTCTATTCTACTTCTGGACAATTAAATTTATCTCTAATTATTCCCAAAATATTGGTCTCTGTAACTCTGCATTACTACACTATTTCCTTTATGTATAGCAATTCTTTGAATATCAAAAGATACTGAACATATACTAGTATACACACTAAATATTTTATCTTTCAAACTGATCTTTCACAATTCCTTTATTTCTTTCTCATCTGACGTTATTTTCATCCTAGTCCCCTTCTTTCAGATGTTTTTTTGTTCATTTGTTTATTTCTTAATTCTCACCCAAGAATATTTTTCCTTTGGTATTTTTGTTTGTGTGTGGTGTTTTTTTTTTTTTTTGTGGTTTTTTTTTTTTTTGAGAGAGAGAGAATGGAAGGGAGTGGGAATGGAGAGAGACAGAGATCGATGTGAGAGAGACACATTGATTGGTTACCTCCCGCACACACCCCACAGGTGATCAACCAGGTATGTGCCCTTGACAAGGAATTGAACCCGTGACCCTTCCATACTAGGGCTGATGCTCTAATCACTGAACCGCACTGGCTAGGGCTCCAGATGCTTTCTAATAAGTTAATTATTTTTTCTCCTACCCATTAACCTGAACACAAATTTCCAAATGTGAAAGAATAAAATAAGATCATAACATTATATATGGCATTTTTAAAAAGCAATCCTACCAACTGCTTTCCTTTGAATTATGGACAATTATAATGCACAAAGACTTAACCACATAAACTGCAACCAACTCAAGTTTCTCATACTTCATTTCTGCAATTATTTTTAATATAAAACTAAGATAAAGATTTCCATATTTTCCTATCTTGTGCTTTTTGTACCAAAAGTTCAATTTCATTTCAACACTGATTTAGTAAACTACCATTTGGCTATTCCTCTAAAATTTGCCCTCCTGAAACTCTAAATATGTGTTTTAAGTATTTATAAAAGGCACAGATAAAATTAAACATAATGATCATATGAGCAAAATTTTTCTAATATAAACACAGAAATCTTATTCCTAGGTGACATTAATCCATGCAACAGAATCTTAAAGCAAAAATTAATTTAGCTATAAATCTGGCCAGCCTATGATTTTCTTCCATGTTTGTGTATCCATCATCAGAAACCAGTGAAAATATCTGCCTAAAACCAAAACATCATACATTTGGAAACCCATTAATCCTATTAGAAAAGGTGAATCTTTGTTGCTTGTTTTAGGATAGCTATTTTCTTTCCTAAGATTCTAAAATCAGTATTAATATAATATTTTCTAGAAATCAATTGGGATAGACATCAGGTTTTTAGTGTATGTTTTTCAGAATTTATTTTTTTATGGCATTGTCCCACAAATAAAGGAATAAAAATGTCCCCTGTTCCAATTCTAATTTTCCTACTCTTACATAGAACTACTTCCCAAAATATTTCAGTAAAATAATATTATATATGTTGCATTAATTTCATTTTATTACCTCATATAAAACTGTTGTGTTCCCATGAAGAAGAGGTCCATAACAGATATAGGAATGTCCAACAACCCAGCCTAAGTCAGAAGCTGCCCACCACACCTGAAAAAAATATAACATAATAAAATGCATGTATCTTACTCAGAGAAATGTAATGTAAAGTGAATTTACATCCATGATTACCTCTCCAGGTTGAAGTCCATAGATGGAAGACATTGTCCAGTTTAGCATTACAGCATAACCTCCAGTGGGCCTAACCACACCCTAAATGAGAAGAAATAAAATTAAAATTAATAATGTGTTAAAAGTCTCAGTCTTCCTAGTATCTACCTAAAAAAAAGTTTTTGTTTAAAGTATTTCATCTTTCTTAAGCTACAAATCACTTTGGCTTTTATATAATTGTATGTGAGTCATTTCTTCTTTGGCTCCTCCAATAACAAACACAGAATAAATTGTCCACATCAGTCCACTTGCAGAACCCATTCTCACAGATCATTCTTGACCTTCTAAAGAAAAACTTATGATTTCACAGAATCATATGCAATAAAAATGTATTCTAGTGGTAACATAAATTTGCAACATTACATTTTCAGGTATATTTCCAGAACAAAAATGGAAACTCAAAATCAAGGACACAGAAAGACCAAAGGTAGCTATGTGTCTAAACTAAAGACTAGCATAAGATGTCTATCCCCTAACATTATTATATTTTAGTATGCTTAGAAGAAGAAAAAGACATATTCTAACCAGAGCCTCATTACAATGCTGCACTGAGGCTCATGCTAGTATTGAGCTGAGCAATTCTTTAGTGCTGAATTCTGGAACTCTGAGGAATCAACCCTGGTGGGTTGGATCTAAGGCTGACAGATTTGCCTTATATTACATTTTGTGCTATAGTAGGGATTGAATCAGCTTCTAGCAGCTATCCACAACACTGAACATATGCAACTTTTATACAGAGTCATCCACAACACTGAACATATGCAACTTTTATACAGAGTCATACTTGAAAATTGAGCAAAGTATCATGATAAATAAGAAGTGATGGTAAATTTAATAATTGATTTTGTTTACTGCTTCACTCTAAACATTAATCATCATTGGCTGAAAAAAAAAAGACCTGTTATTACTATTTAAAGCAGGAAGGTGAATGCTTGCTAAGAAATATTCAATATTTCACTCAAATGCAATATGAAGCATTTCTACTAGAGCAATAATAATTACTCTGAGCAGAAAATAATTATTTTACTCAAAGGGCACATGTGGTCCTAGTGTACCTAATTGCACCGCTTTGGCTTAGTTCTGCAACTGTAACGCACACACAAAAATGAGTGAATACAAAAGAAATTGACTTTCTGTCAGTTACTAAAATTTTTGCTCTCCCCGGTACCACTAATAAAACATTGGCACCAAGCCGTGGAACACATTTTATCTAGTAGCAGCAACACCAGGTCTCTTAGCAAATATCATTTTGTTGACATCTGACAGCTACTTTCTGGGTTGTTTGCCATAGTTAGCATGCAGCTGGCTCTTGTGATCACCTTGGGAGAATTAAAAATCCTAAGTATCTCCCCATGTAAGCTGGGCAGCTCTTTCCTCAATTTATTCTGTATTATCTTTCATGTATTTTGCTAATTCCTTTGTCCTATTGAGAAGGCCGTTTCCTATGGTTTAATAGCTTGATGAATTTGATGGTAATCAACTTGCAAAAGCTCTTTTCTAAAAAACTGTATTCATTTCATGGGGGAAAAAGTGAACTTTTTTCATAGAAAATAAGTTATCCATATATAACAGTAAACAGGGATAATGTCAGTAATGATTTCACTCAAAATGTTTTAGAATTTTTTCTCCACCTCCTGTCTCTGCATTCAGAGCTCATTTGTATCAATGATATAAATATTATAAGTGGTCCAATTTTAGATTGCGTAGTATAGAGGGTAAAGTTAATCAACTGGAAGTGATAAAAAGGAATCAAAAGCTTGGGATGACATAAATAAGTAGCAATTCATTTTGGGAAATTTAGAAGATAACGTAAAGGATAGGTTACAAAAATTCTATTTACCTCTCAAGTGATTACTTTTTAAAGTACATTTGCCAATGCCACTCTGCTTGTAAAATTGTATATTTGGCCCCCCCAAAAAGTGAGTCTTAAAATAAGATCATGCACGGGAAAGCATTAAAAAGTGTAATAGCTAAATTTTAAACTCTTATTAACAAAATTATTTCCTTAGTTCTAGCAATTATTGATTTTTATTTCTCCCTATGCTAATCCCACCCAAAAAGCAAAATGTCAAAATATAGGTTACCATCAAAGATTCTCATTAAAAGCAATTAAAATGGAGCTATTGGAGAGAGAAAAATCCATATTTGCTTTTTATTGGTCTTTGATTTCCACTTACTTTTATTTTGTTAAGGGATGAGTGAAATAATTTCCATCAAGTATCACTTTGTTGTTCATTAATTTAGACTCTAGATCTAAAATTTAGTATTACCTCCAAAATATGCAGATAATTTACAATTTTCTGAGTATTTAATAAGGTGCAGAAAAAAGAAGTGCATCATTTCATATTCTCCATGCAGATCTTTTACAAGAAGGTTAAAAGTTAAAAAAAATTAAAAGATTATGTTAAAAAAGTTTATTATAATATTGCTATTAACATGTGACTAAAAAGAAAGTATTTTTGTTTCTTATTTATAATCCAACTTTAGAGGTAATGATAATTAAAATGCAAAAGAGCAAACTTGTTGAGCCTTTGAAAACATATAAATCATGTTTTTAAAAAATCATCATATTTTAAGTACACCAAATAGATTAAAAACTAAAAATGGTATCTGAACATATATTTGAAACTTGAGTATGAGGTAAAAATACTTATTTAATATCAATGCTTAACCCTGAAACATAAGCACACTGCATTTTACTCTTTTGAGTCTCTGCTATTACTTTTTTTGTATTTGCACTCTATATACCTTAAAAGACAGTAGATGACCTAATATATTCTCAGAAAAGCTCTGTAACCTGACAATGTGCTGCTCTGCTTTCTGTGGAATTGGCCATTACACTTAGTCTTCTGCAGAACTTGAAAGATAGCCAGGTGGGAATAGCACTCCATTCCACAAATAAAGACATAAAAACGAATTCTACCTCAGAAACAGGAAAGGATACAATGAGAATGTGCTCTTTTAAAAAAGAAAAGAAAAAAGAACAAAATCATAAAACCCACTTTAAATATAAAGGCATTTTTTTTTTAAATTCAATCTGTACAAATAAAATGAAAGGCTAACCATTAATTACCCAGGAATGGGACCAGAGAATTGTCACAGATGGCTCCCGGTGGTGCCCAGCTTAATGAGCTGTCTTTGAAGACAAGGACAGCCACAAAACACCATAAATGGGACCACCGTTAAAGTAAAACAGATACCAGGTAAATATCAAGTGTTCAGTTTTGATTGTTGAGAGTTAAAACAGTTAGAACAATATGGACTGTGGCAGAAGAGGAAGACTGAGGTGTTTGATAAGAAAAAGAGATTGAAATTCTTCATCTTAAATCTGCTTTTAAATTAATCTATAAAAATAAGAGGAAAATCTCAAAATACTCAGGATAGAATTCTGGAATATGTGACAAAACTTTGTTTCCTAAATTGAGCCCCTCTGTGATCCAAATCTGTGATGAAGGCTTATTCAAGGAAAATGTACATGTTTACATACATGAGATATACACACTAATTATTATGATCTCTGAATGCATAACAACCTGGCCACTCAGTGTATAACCTATATAATAAAAGGCTAATATACAAATTAGCCTTTTTGACTAGGAGTTTGACCAGAAGGCAGGCCGGCCAACTGCCCATGTCCCCTTCCTCTGGATCCCATCCATGCACAAATTCATGCATCAGGCCTCTAATAAACGTACATACACATACACACACACACACACACACACACACACACACACACACACACTGAGTGGTCAGATTATTATGCATTCAGAGATCATAATAATCTGGGCACTCAGTGTATTTTTATTCACACACACGTATGTAAGTGTGTGTATCTATCTATATGTATTGTGTGTTTACATATGCTTTACTTATGCATGTTTATATCTATTTCATATATTAATTTCATCCTGACAAGTGGAGGAAAAAAATAAAGCAAGAAGAAAGAAGAAAAATATTTTGCCTGAAGAAAGAAAATCCATCACCAAGCAATGGTTGAAGTTGGCAAATTGAGAAGAAAAAAGGTATGGTTCTGATAACTTAAAAAAAATTCAATACATCGACATTATTCTTTTCTTATAATGGCTAAGTGGATGATATTCCCTCTTCCTAGAGTAAATTTCCACTCCCACCCCTCTTCTGAAATTGGTTAGCTCCTAGTTCATCACACAAGCCGTAAAGCCCATCACTATCCCTTCATGATATCAAGCAAAAAGAACAGGTGCTGCCACCTCTGCTGGACATTGTCCAGAATCCCGCAGTAACTGCGTCCCATCCTCTTCCATGGCCCCATGCCCCATGGCCTGCACACCTCCTCCGAGCACTGACAGCCCGACCCAGCGCTAGGTCTACACTACACTGGTGTTGTGAGGTGATGCCTTTGTCTTTCCACAGTGTCTGGCATAGAATAGTATTTCAATACATTTGTCCACAGATTTAATGACTGAACGTTAACTGAAGGAGCACATGTATGAAAAATCTTTTTAAAAATAGTCTTCTTGGTTCAGAGAAAACCTTTGAAACTTGTAGAACTTAGTGAATCACATCAGCAGAAATGGAATGGTTCCAATTAGGATATTTCAGCAAACATAAAATCCCTTGCTACAAGCTCTGGTGCCGCCTCTATGAGCAGTAGACATTTTTATTTATTTTTTTATTTTTATTTTTTAAATATATTTTATTGACTTTATACAGAGAGGAAGGGAGAGAGATAGAGAGTTAGAAACATCGATGAGAGAGAGTCATTGATCAGCTGCCTCTTGCACACCCCCTACTGGGGATATGCCCGCAACCAAGGTACAGGCCCTTGACCGGAATCGAACCCGGGACCCTTCAGTCCCCAAGCCGATGCTCTATCCATTGAGCCAAACCAGTCCCGGCGAGCAGTAGACATTTTTATTGATCTGAACAACTGTGAGGTAATGGGCAATGGACTGTGAAACAAATCCAGCATTTTAATTACCTGAACTGTAACACAGATAAGAAACTTCACTGCTTTTATATTTGACTTTTTAATTGTGTGTGTGTGTGTGTGTGTGTGT